TGGGAATGTATGTCTTTGTGTCTTACCATTGATTATGTCTTAAGAATGCATTCATTAATTGTTTTTATGTTTTATTTGATTCCATAGCTGAAGACAGTCTCGATTGTCCGGTGATTATCATTATATAAAATATGGTATCTTAAGTGTCGTATAGTGTCTTACATCTGGTTATCACAGAAACTGATCGATGAATACAACAGGACTTCGAAGGGATTGAAGACAATTAAGAGGAGGTTATGGTGTGACTCACGGCCCAAGAGTAATGGTGCGTCCGATAGTGAGACTCAACTGTCGGCTCGCAGTCCGGAACCATTGGAATCAATGTTTGAGGACTCGTCGAACAACATGTCGACTGAAGTGTTGGTATCGATGTCACCGAAACTGGTGATTGACTTCGAGGAATATAATGACAATATGGAAGAGGTGGGGATCTGTTCACTAATTACGTAAACCTCTTATAGTAATACATTATCTCATGACATGTGTTGATGTCTTTGAATGACAGTCAATCATCTGCAATGAGTGGACACCGGAATCAGTGCCGATAGGAGTGTCCGAATCGATGGTCACTGAAGAGGTCGATGAGGTCTGTGATGAGGTCGAGTATGTGGTGGAAGCAGTAGTTGACAAGAGATCTGTTGACAATAAGATTGAGTATCTGATCCAATGGCAAGGATTCGACGATAACCACAACACGTGGGAACGTATGTCTTGTGTCTGACCATTGATTGTCTTATAATTGCATTCATTAATCGTTTTTAACTTTTATCTCATTCATAGCCCAAGAGTTTCTCAACTGTCAGGTGATTATCATTAAACTCTCGAATCTAATGTCTTGTGTCCAATGGTTTTGATTATCGATTACAGGAACTGATCGATGAATACGAACAGTGGGTGAAAGTGTCGGAACCGACACCACAGTCATCGACATCGCCGCTGCACTCAAGCCCTCCGAGCGCTTCCAATGAGTCCATAGAATTAGCGAAAGGTTTAAAAACGCCGCCACTGTTAGCACCGGTATCTCCAGAAACTACCGCAACTTCGGGAGCGTCGATGGGAACACCGCCTGAATTGTCGCGTTATATGTGTTCACTGGGCCTGACATCTACTTCTGAATCGATAGCCTCCGGAACAGACACTCGGAGGGAACGGGAGGCGGGTGTGGAGTACGACGACGATAAGGACGAGTATGTGGTGGAAGACATTCGGACGAAGGGCTACCGGAACGGACGGGTCGAGTATCTCATCAAATGGCAGGGATTGGACGAGAGCTACAACTCGTGGGAAGGTATGTCTCAATGAAGTTACCATTGTTTTCGGTCTTAAGATAATTGTTTTGTTTGTATCGATTGCCAGTCAAAGACACGCTGATCGAGACGTGCGACTGTCAGGTGATTATAGCGCCGGTAGCTCAAGATGTCTTCAACTCTTGACTAATATGTCTTATTGTCTTATCCACAGAAACTGATCCACGAATACGAGTTGTCGTTGAAGTTATCGACGTTTCCGGTGGCGACCCAAAGCTTACAGTCGTTGGGGTCGTTGTGCGCCCACCGGAGCCCCGGTACGTATGACCGACCGGTGAGTCCCAGAGTCGGGTCCCGAGTACTGCGGCCACGGGTTAACCGAAAGTACGTACACTTTGACAGCGATTCCGATGAATGAGTTTGTGGTTAGCCATCGATGACTATGAAGACCATGAATGGAGTGATAATATTGACGACATTTACTAACAATCAGTTTAATTATATTTGCATTTATAGTATTTGTTGTAATTATTAGTTATTAGGACTTAGGGTTACCGTTACGTTCATTAATATCGTATGAATTTGTGTTTTCATTACGAGTTTTATAGTAATAGTTCAACACGAATGTAATATTTGTTCATTTATAGCCACGAATTGGCGAATAATAATGATTGTGTTATTAACCATTAAATTATGTCTAAATTGCATACATAAATAAAATGTTTCATATGCCTTATTTTTAATACAAATATTTTAACATTCATATTGTGGGACTACAGGCAATGATTTTCGGGTCAAAAATTTTTATTTTATTGAATATAAAGTATAGAGTG